CACACACACACACACACACACACCAAGCAACACTCTCGTTGTTCTGTGCTTCATTAAATAAACTAGGTATCACTGCACTTGGTAATCCTTTAGTTAACACTCACTGTAATAAAAACTTCATACTCTTCAGCTTACAGATGGCCATAGACTTTGCCAGGGCTGGCAATTTTGATGCTTTCTTAGCAGTGGGAGGAGGATCCGTGATAGATACCTGTAAAACGGCAAACCTGTACGCCTGCAAACCAGACTCGGAGTTCCTAGACTATGTGAACGCTCCTGTTGGGAAGGGGCTGCCCGTGAGGCACACCTTGAAGCCACTTATTGCAGGTACTTATATGTTATGTGTACGGATATACTGGTGAACATATACAAACTTAATGTATATGTGTTCACAAGGCACACATTTACATGCCATTTTTTTATGTACAAAAAACATTTTGTCTTTTTAGCACTGATTTTCTCTACAGTTATTGTTTAGGTAAGAATTTCATCAGCTTTGTTATGTTATAAGGTAATTTTTTCTTCAATCAACAGCTAATATTGAACTTGTTTACCAGCTGTTGATTGAAGAAAAAAAAACTTTATTTTTAATTATAATTTGGTTATTTTGATTATGAGTAAGTGACAATACTTTTTGTGCATCAATGGGAATGTTGGAATAAGATCATTTTTGGACCATGATGTTTTTAAAATTACTTTTAGTGCCCACTACTGCTGGAACTGGCAGTGAGACCACTGGGGTGGCCATCTTTGATTACGAACCTCTGAAGGCTAAGACAGGTATGATTTAGAGCAACATTTATAAGACAAAAAACAAAAGTGTTCAGAATCAGATGCCAGTTTGACATGTGCAAAAACCATTTTCATTGAGAACATATTTTCTTAAAAGAATTAAATTATGGTACTTTATGCCTTAAAGTTTCATGAATATTGTATAGATTTAAGACTCAAGAATGTATTACAATTATTATTATTATTATTATTATTATAATTTGAGTTATCATCATTTGTCTTCTTCTTTTTATTATTATTATTATTATTATTATCATTACAAATACTATTGCTGTTGTTGTTGTTGTTGTGCTGCTGTTGTTATTAGTACCATATGTTAATTCCAGGCATTGCTAACAGAGTATTACGTCCACTGCTGGGTATTGTAGACCCCCTCCATGCTCTGACTATGCCAGAGAGAGTGGCAGCTAACAGTGGCTTTGATGTACTCTGGTCAGTATGCTGTGTTAAAGACACCATGTGTCAACCAATAACTTTCATAGTCAATGTATGAAGCTTATTACCAGATTAATCCAAGGCTCACTGCAGATAAGTACAAGACTGAGGTCATGATTTCGTACATAAATTTTGAAAATAATATTTGTACACTGTACACAATGCTCCCAGTGACTGGAACTTCTTGTGTGTGTGTGTGTGTGTGTGTGTGTGTGTGTGTGTGTGTGTGTGTGTGCGCATGCATATAAATATGATAATTTGTCACCTCATTAACACAAAAGAAAGCACAAGTAAAGGACAAACACGAGTATAGTGATCGAAATTTGGCTGTTGACTGCTGCTTTTATTGAAAGGTCCTAGTAAAAGAAATGGTGTAAGGTAATTGTGTACCATTAAATAATGTTGAGTAATAAAAAATTACATAATGTTTTAGCATAAATAGTAAATATCTCCCCTACATATAATCTCAGCTAGATTTCTAATAATTATTAGCATCATAAACTCATTTCAGCCATGCTTTAGAGTCCTACACTGCCATTCCCTTCAATGAGCGCACTCCGCGGCCAGAGAATCCCATTCTGAGGCCAGCGTACCAGGGCAGTAACCCCATTAGTGACCTGTGGTCACTTCACGCCCTCAGAATTGTTGCCAAGTACTTCAGGAGAGCAGTCAAGGACAACACCGACAAAGAGGCGAGGTCGGCCATGCATCTGGCCAGTGCCTATGCTGGGATTGGTTTTGGAAATGCTGGGGTGCACTTATGGTATGTGTACGGTAATAGCTCATAAATTTCAAACATTTTGCTTTAAATATTTTCCTTTTTTAAGTTGTTACTTAGAATTGAATTGAAAAGCATATCTCAAGAATAGGTTTTCTGTTCATTTGACAAGGACAAATGTCATGTGAGAGAGAAGGCTTCTCTTTCCGCCAATGATAATCTAGTGAACAAAATAATTTGGTAATTGTATTAAGAATCTGTTTCCTTTAAGACAAAAATGGCCATCAACAAAACATACTTGAGGGAAAATTCATTCTCTTATATAGTAATCCAAGGGAAAAATTCATGAGAGAAAAAAAACATAATAATAATAATATAATAATAATTAATAATTATCTTTTCCAGCCATGGTATGTCGTACCCCATAGCTGGACTTGTCAAGCAGTACAGGGCTAAGCAGTATGCAGTAGACCATCCCCTCGTGGTAAGCACTAGTACATCAGTGAAAGTTTTCAGGATTATGTCATCAGTTTTACTTTAGTCTAAATTCAGTGAGAAATTTGGACTTATCTCAACAGGTTTCCTTAAACTGCCTATTTTTAACTTTCTTCTTAGACCCCAATCCCATAGATGCTGTAGGTCTACATATTCTTAACTTGCCTCTTAGACCTCAGTCTCACAGACACCATTGGTCTGCATGCATCAGTCAACTCTAAATGACATGCTTCCTCTTGTTTCCAACATTCTAGAATAATCACCATCTTTGCTGTATTCCTCTTTACACCAGGAGGAGGAGGAGTGTTATTCAGTTAAGTTGATTGCATTCAGCAAGAGTCCCCACAGAATTTGGTCAATCCAAAGAGGCTGATGCTGTCAATGAGAGTGGGGCCTTATACGATGAACTTTCATTTCAGCCCCATGGTTTATCCGTAGTGCTCACTGCTCCGGCTGTTTTCCAGTTTTGTGCTCCAATGTGTCCAGAGAGACACATAGAAGCTGCAGGGATATTGGGTAGGGAATTTTATTTTCTTCACTGATGACACTTTTTGTTGGAATTCGGACTTTTTCAGGGTCATTTGGGTCATTCTTAGACTTTTTCAGGATCATTTGGGTCGTTCTAAGACTTGTGAATGGTGTAAATCTGGTGAATGATGTCAGTCCTACTTTTTCAGTGAGGACTGGTCACATGCCTGTTTCTGACTAAAAATAAATAAACGCCCATCCGCTTGTTCAGTCAAAGCATTATATCAACAATTCTCATTAGTTATGTCAGATTGGATGCATGTTCTGTGATAAATACGATCACTCTTAACTCCAAAGTTTCTTTCTCACTTAACATTTTTTTCATAACAGGTGCTGATATTACTAGTGTGAAGAAAGAAGACGCTGGACTAGTCCTAGCTGATGTTCTCCGTCAGATCATGCATGACCTAGATGTTGACGATGGACTGAACTCCATTGGTTTCACCTCTGAGGATATCCCAGCTTTGGTCAAAGGAACGCTGCCACAGGTGAGACAGAGGGAAAAGAGGTGTCTGCCTGCTCCAAAAAAGGCACGGAGTGGGTTTCCATTATTGGTTGTATTTTGTTATTTAATCATGTCACAGGCAGTTGCATGGTTTCTCTTTGACAAAAATTGACCAAGTACCATATTTTGTTTTCTGGAAAAGCATTGTTTCCCTTGATTATATGTGAAAAGAAATTCTGACTCACTGCATGCATTATGTAGAGTTTGAGATAGTATGTCAGTAAATGAGGGTATGGCAGATTGGCAAAATGGACAAGGTTGGTGAGTGTGCTGTCACACCTAACACACTCACCACTGTCACACCTAACACAACTGTCACAACTAACACATTTTCACATGTTTTGCTATATTCATTGTTCTGACATTATATTTTGCCTTTTGTTCCAGCATCGTGTGACTAAACTGGCCCCAAGACCTCAGACGGAGGAGGACTTAGCTATGCTGTTTGAGAAAGCCATGAAGCTGTATTAGCTCGGAGTGTTAGAAATTAAAAATTAATTTGGAAATTTCTGCTGGCTTAAATTGCTCAGCGTGTAGGGTAAAATTACTTAAAATTATTTTTAAAATAGCTGACGAAAATTCAGTTTTGCAAATTTAAAGTTACTTTTCTTTAATATTGAATTAAAGAATGGAACAGTGTCTGACTCAATGAGATCATTATAAGGAATACAGCGGGTGTGTTTAAGTAGACACAATATATTGTGATATATTACCTCAAGAATGCAATATTATTCTCTTGGAGATTTTATAATTAACATAAATCAATGAATTTAATGAAAAATAATTCATATATTTTTAGAATGATTAAGCCATTATCTAATATTTGATGGGTCTCTTCCAAATCTATTTTTATGATTAAATAGAGAACATTACATGAATCAAGGTTAGTGTCATCTTTTTGGGAAAAGTTCAAAGCAAAACAACATTTCAGTAATCTAAACCGAATCACTTTTTGTGAATTCTCGCACAAAATTGACTTTTTTTCTGCATATCTTTTATAACTTCCAAACAAGCTATATCTGACTTAGCCATACAACTTGTGTGTGTGTGTATAATCAAGGTATTTTTAATATTTTTAAGCAATAAGTATTACACTAAAAGACATTTTAATGTACAGACACAACAGGTGTCTGTACATGCTGCCATCATCTGCGTCTGTCCGTCAGTCTTGCTGGAGTAGTAGCTGTCCAAATTTCCCTTTACTGCAATTATTTGGAGGCAATAACTTTATCCTTGTTATATCATTCGCTAGGGCTGTGTTCAGGTTAAAAGTTATTGGTCCAGCAGGAACGCTCTATCTCAGTGGGGATTCTTGCTAAGGCGCAGCTTTATTGTCTGGCACGCCCCCTCATAATGTAAAGTACTCGGGTAAAGTTAGGAAAACTTTGTGTTCCATGACGTTGTTCAAGTTGCTTTGCTAGGGGGTGTGCCAAACAATTTAGCTGATTCCATTAACTGCGCCTTAGCAAAAAACAATTCCGAGACAGATCCATCCTGCTGGACTGATCTTTTTATCTGAACACAGCCTTGAACTGTGAGACCCAGAGTTTGTATGTTGCTTTCCTATTTCATCATATTTGATGTCTAATAGAATATTCCCAGACCCTATCATACGAACTTTGGATCAAACTATCTCCAAGGGGATTCTCGCGTAATTGCAATAACTTAGCGGCTTCGATGACTGTTATGCCTACTGAAGCTGCTAGGGGGTAATTAACTATGGTTTAGCAGTTTCAGTAGCCGTGCCAGACATCTAAGCCACTTCAGCTGATAGCAATATAGCGAGAAACCCAGTGGAGGTGGACCGATTAGATCGATCTAGGGATGGGAACCCAGTCTAAACTGATATGTTGTCTGTACATATGTCAGCATTGGCTGGCTTGCTATAGCATTGTTCAGAGCTACGGGATGTAGTAATATGCATTTTATACAACGTGATTAAAGGTGCTTTGAAATGATAATTTGATAATAAATATATATACTTATAATAGATTGTTGAGAAAATGCCAATGAGTATTTAATAAAATATTTATATACGGAAATGCCTTGTTTGCAGAAATGTTTTAAGTTGTCATATTTTTTGTGATAGAAGCATGGAACTCCGTCAGATTGCTTGAGATACATAAAGGCCTATCATTTAGGACGTGAAAAAGACACGTTTTTCCTTTACATAACGACGACTGAGCTTTCGAATTTTGGGGAATAATGTTGACATGCATTTCTAGGCGTCATACCAATTCATATTCATATCCGTACTAAGCATGGTACATTAAAATTGAAACTAAAACTTAAAATTCAGAAATATCAATTCGAACATCTAGGCATATCTTATAAGCCGCTTGAAATACTGTCGTCTCAGGAACCGAGGGGTTTGGTACCTTCTCGTACCTATCCTGAAGCATGGTTTAGACTTTGAAACACGTGCTGCCGCTGCCAAATCGGCATCTTTACCGACTGTCACTATCGCTGGGAAAACCTCAGTTGCAAACAGATACTGGCGCTCCCTATCGAATGTTTCCACGGTGGTGGGCGTGTCCAGATTGATGAATTGTCTGGAAGACGCTGTGTATTCTGGCCACTGGACGCTGACCGGGTCACCAACATTTGGGTCACTGAAACAAGACGAGTGTTTAGAAAAGTGTTAAAGAAAATTGTCAAAATTGCCATGGAGATAGCCCACTACGGACGAGATGCCATTAAAACGATGTACCAGTCTAATGACGCCAAAATGAAATTATCAAATCGTAATGACATTATGCGCATGGCGGGAACATTTGACTCCAATTACGTAAATGATCCAAACATCTATTAAAATCGTTTGAACTGAATTAACATTCCAAAGGATCTCCCTTCCAACAAATTGTATAGCAATTGTCAATATTGCTTATATTTTGTATTTTGCTTGAGATGTGAAATATATTAAAGAAGTTTAACGTTTGTCCTTACCCGTTCTTTGCAAAGTTAGCAATATATCTCCTGACAGCCCTAGTAAGCTCCAACTCCTGCGCCGTCAAATTATACACATTTCGGTGTTCCTCAAACACTCCGTAATAAACAATAGCAGAATCAAAATGTTCGGCACGTACAAAGGGCGCCTTAGGATAGTAAGAAGACGGGTAGCCAAGACGAACTGAAAGCATGTATTTGTACGTCGTGGCACCTCCCGCCTCGTTCAGTCTCGCCGACTCCTCTGCCGGCATGCCGAAGAGAAGGTCCGTGGTCAGTTGTGTCGCCCGGATAAGGAGTGCTGCTGGATCCATGGGGTCTGCCAGTAGACCGTACTCGTGAAGCAACGCCCTAGCCACGGCATTCGGCGCGCTTTCGGTGCTAAAGTCAAACGCTAGCGTAGAATAGGCTTGAAGCAGGGACCGTTGTGTAGCGACTGTGGGGGGATTTCCCGCAAAGGGAAGGGAGTAGATGCTGCCATCATGGGAGGTGGAGCCCACCATGTATCGTAGCCCGGATGTCACGTTTTCTCTCAAGAGATCTCGTGGATGCTTTGGGAGGAATATCCCGTCTATGACTGGTCGCCAATTTGTCGATTCCCGAATTCCTTGTTCCGGAATATTCACCAAATCGTTCACATCCTTACCGCGAAGGCAGCGAAGCCTTGCCCTCGGATTCGCCATTCCACATCCCACTCTTTTTGCATACTCTGTGCTGATATTCATAGATTCTGCTAGACTCCAAGAGACCAACGATGACCCGCTTGCTGATATCCCTCCCTGCACCAAACCTCGATTCAGTGGAGAAACCAACTGGAAATCAACCGACGCTCCTCCTGCCGAGCCACCGATTAGAGTTATACGATTGGGGTCACCGCCAAACGCCTCAGCATTCTCCCGCACCCATTTAATAGCCCAGTGCTGGTCGTGGAGACCGTAGTTGCCTCTGGCGTCGTTCGTACCCGTGCTGAAGAAGCCCAGAAACCCCAGCCTGTAGTTGGCGTTCACGAAGATGACCCCACCCTCCAGAGAGAGAAGATCCCCATTGTAAGCTGCGGCAGAGCCTGAGTAAAATCCGCCGTCGTGGATATTTAAGAGGATAGCGAGAGAAGCATTAGTTGCACGCAGATAGTCCACGCCGCGTGGCACGTACACGTTTAGAAACAGACAATCCTCGTCTCGTGTTATGTCGGTGATCGTGCGCCCGAAGTTGACGTAGCGCGAAATCCCACCGTCAGTCTGCGGACAGTGCGGACCGAATTGTTTGGCCTCTCTAACAGCATCTCCCCATCCGGGATGTCTTTCGGGATTGGCGAACCTAAGTCTTCCCACGGGTGGCTTTACGTACGGTATCCCACGAAAGCGGTCCACTATGCCTGAGACTTGAAAGATAAGAAGCAAAGCTCAGACTTTTTTGTATGTTTATAATGACACTTTTTGCTCGCTTACATCAGTTTGTTTGTGTGTGTGAGTGTGAGTCAATATGCACTGTTTTTTGTGTAATGTTTTTTTTTCTACTTATATGAAAAGCTTCTTAGACGCCTCTGTGATATTGTATTGTGTGTGTGTTGGTTGAGTAATTCTTAAAAATATGTAATAAAGACAAGTTTTACATTTAAAAATGATGAAAATTAATAAATAAATAAAATACTTAAAACTATTTCCAAGTTTACTTATTTTAAAGATCACAAACTGTTCCGTTCTGTGCTAGCCCTTGTACACTACAATGGGTAGTCCGTCATAAATGCAGTCCAGCAAAAATATGCACATACAAAATCTGTATATAGAGCTCAATATGTATACAGCACCCGCTCCGTGCACCTTTTCATAATTATCCCTCGGAGCTGTCTGATGCTGCAGGGATGAATGTGAGGAGAATAAAAACTGTCCTACACCCATATGTACTGATTTATTGTCAATAATGTGCCAGAGAGTAAGAAAAAAGATCCGGTTTCGAAACAGACAGTCATGAATATATATATACTTACTTAGTCGTATCGTTTGTGTCCCCATGTAGGAGAGATTAGAGTCTGGCGCACAGGTACAAATGCAGGTGTTCTCTCTCTCTCTCTCTCTCTCTCGCACACTCACAAACACACACACACACACACACACACACTGCCATCATATAAACGCAGAATTCACCTTGATCCCTACAATCTTTATGTATACTCCAGCTTCCATGCACATACACACACACACACGTTTGCGCACTCTCTTTATGGCTAACCTAACTCGCGTACACTCACAAACACGCTCTACATAATCTTTCCTGGTTGACCAGTAAGTTCGGGCCACCATGATTGAGAAGCGCAGTCATCAGCGCTTGCTCATTTGTATTTATACTTGGAAATAAGTCATTTGGCGCTTTTAGAAAGTTCAAAGGTGGGATCACTGTACCTGCTTTTTAAAAATCATTCAATACAAATAGACTTCACAGTAGCATACCGGGTACTTCTCATTTTGACGTTAACAGACGTTTAACGCCCTTTATTTTACTTGACGGATATGGTATTCCATTCAAGAGGCCAGCTTAGTGATGACAATTAGGCCCTATCCATGCCATAATTTTAGCTGGACCGTAGAGAAAAACTGTCGAGAACTACCCAGATACATAAATTCGAATATCTAGTGAAAATCAACCTTTGGCCCTGGTAGAGGGTACAGAGAAAGTACATGTACATATTTATGCACAGTGAAATATAACTTCAATAATGTTGAAAAAGACTTTTTTAGACTTACCGGGACCAATTTTCACATTAACTCTTTCTCCTACAATCTTCCCCAGGTTTGTTGTCACCACTGGCGTATCCAAACACAGAACGACTTGTGTTGTCACCAACATATAGAAGCAGATGCCGTAAAGAACAGAGTTGTTCCCCATCTTCGGCCCACAGCAAGGTCTTCAGAACTATATTGCCGGAGGTGCGCAGTGCAGCGACGAAAAAATGCTGCAATGTGCATATGGTCTGTCACGCACGTCAAAGTATGCAAAATTGCGGTTTTTATAGGTAGAAATAAACGTCAGTCCGTTATTTAGAATATACTTTAATAGGAGAAAGCCGTATAAAAGAAAATATGGCTACTTCGACACGTTCATATAATGTTACACTGAAGACGTTTAATTCTAGCGGTCGGGTAATTGTCACTGCATGGGTAGTTTGATGGTATTTAGTGCCTATCAAATTTAAATAATATGTTGGTGTAGAAGGTGACACCGTTTCCAGGCCCGTAGCCAGCAATTTCAAGTGGGGGGTTCTTTTCCTGAAAAAGTGGACCTTTTACCATAAAATCTTTGTGTACCTATATCAAATTTTACCCAGAGTGGACCTTTTCCAGCAAAAAGGCGGTTCTTTCGAACCCCCCCACCCCCCCCCCCCCCCCCTGGCTAAGGGGCCTGGTTTCGATCTGATACTTGAAGACACGTGTTGTTCTGCTTATTCCCCTATTCCATTACGAATTACAAGAACCACCAGGAATTGACAAATCACGGGCTTAGTTTAATCGTGATAATTTTTTTTCAGCTTTAAACTGATTCTTGTTTATTCTCGGTCTGTACCTGCAATTCTTGAGAGATCGTGAAATCGGTACAAACGTTCCGAACCGGGCTTCAATTTATCAAGCAGTTGATGTTCATACTCCTGTTCTAGGGCCAGTACTATAGCTTCTTAATGTTGAAGATCCAATTTGGAAATGAAGCTGAAGCACGGACAAGATTTCTACCAGAAATCTGCACAATTCCACGATTCCCACCCTGAGCTTCAGAGCTAACTTGACACTAACCTTTTCACTGTAGCCTATCTCCATCGTGTCANTTATTATTATTATTATTATAATTTGAGTTATCATCATTTGTCTTCTTCTTTTTATTATTATTATTATTATTATTATTATTATTATTATTATTATTATTATTACAAATACTATTGCTGTTGTTGTTGTTGTTGTTGTTGTGCTGCTGTTGTTATTAGTACTATATGTTTGTTCCAGGCATTGCTAACAGAGTATTACGTCCAATGCTGGGTATTGTGGACCCCCTCCATGCTCTGACTATGCCAGAGAGAGTGGCAGCTAACAGTGGCTTTGATGTACTCTGGTCAGTATGCTGTGTTAAAGACACCATGTGTCAACCAATAACTTTCATAGTCAATGTATGAAGCTTATTACCAGATTAATCCAAGGCTCACTGCAGACAAGTACAAGACTGAGGTCATGATTTCGTACATAAATTTTGAAAATAATATTTGTACACTGTACACAATGCTCCCAGTGACTGGAACTTCTTGTGTGTGTGTGTGTGTGTGTGTATAAATATAATAATTTGTGTCCTCATTAACACAAAAGAAAGCACAAGTAAAGGACAAACACAAGTATGGTGATCGAAATTTGGCTGTTGACTGTTGCTTTTATTGAAAGGTCCTAGTAAAAGAAATGGTGTAAGGTTATTTTGTACCATTAAATAATGTTGAGTAATAAAAAATTACATAATGTTATAGCATAAATGATAAATACTTCCCCTACATATAATCTCAGCTGGATATCTAGTAATTATCAGCATCATAAACTCATTTCAGCCATGCTTTAGAGTCCTACACGGCCATTCCCTTCAACGAGCGCACCCCGCGACCAGAGAACCCCATTCTGAGGCCAGCGTACCAGGGCAGTAACCCCATCAGTGACCTGTGGTCACTCCACGCCCTGAGGATCGTGGCTAAGTACTTCAGGAGAGCGGTCAAGGACAACACGGACAAGGAGGCCAGGTCAGCCATGCACCTGGCCAGCGCCTATGCTGGGATTGGTTTTGGAAATGCTGGGGTACATTTATGGTATGTGTATGGTAAAAGCTCATAAATTTCAGAGTTCTCCTTTTAAATATATGAATGTCTAGTCCTTGTGCTGGGATGGGTGTTAAAAATGCTGGGGTGCATTTATGGTTTGTATATGGTAATTGCCCTTAAATTTAAACATTTTGCTTTGAATATTTTCCTTGTTTAAGGTGTTACTTACAGAATTCAATTGAAAAGCATATCTCAGGAATAGGTTTTCTGTTCATTTGACAAGGACAAATGTCATGTGAGAACAAAGGCTTCTTTTTCAGCCAATGATAATCTAGTGAACAAAATAATATGGTAATTGTATTAAGAATCTGTTTCCTTTAAGACAAAAATGGCCATCAACAAAACATACTCGAGGGAAAATTCATTCTCTTATAACCAATAGTAATCCAAGGGAAAAATTCATGTGAGAAAAAAAAAAAAAAATATTATAATAATTAATAATTATCTTTTCCAGCCACGGCATGTCGTACCCCATAGCTGGACTTGTCAAGCAGTACAGGGCTAAGCAGTATGCAGTAGACCATCCCCTCGTGGTAAGCACTAGTACATCAGTGAAAGTTTTCAGAATTATGTTCTCATTTTTACTGTTAGTCTAAATTCAGCGAGAAATTTGGACTTATCTCAACTGGATTCCTTAAACTGCCTATTTTTAACTTTCTTCTTAGACCCCAATCCCATAGATGCTGTAGGTCTACATATTCTTAACTTGCTTCATAGACCCCAGTCTCACAGACACCATAGGTCTGCATGCATCAGTCAACTCTGAATGACATGCTTCCTCTTGTTTCCAACATTCTAGTATAATCACCAGCTTTGCTGTATTCCTCTTTACACCAGGAGGAGGAGTGTTATTCAGTTAAGTTGATTGCATTCAGCAAGAGTCCCCACAGAATTTGGTCAATCCAAAGAGGCTGATGCTGTCAATGAGAGTGGGGCCTTATACGATGAACTTTCATTTCAGCCCCATGGTTTATCCGTAGTGCTCACTGCTCCGGCTGTTTTCCAGTTTTGTGCTCCAATGTGTCCAGAGAGACACATAGAAGCTGCAGGGATATTGGGTAGGGAATTTTATTTTCTTCACTGATGACACTTTTTGTCGGAATTCAGACTTTTTCAGGGTCATTTGGGTCATTCTTAGACTTTTTCAGGATCATTTGGGTCGTTCTAAGACTTGTGAATGGTGTAAATCTGGTGAATGATGTCAGTCCTACTTTTTCAGTGAGGACTGGTCATATGCCTGTTTCTGACTAAAAATAAATAAACGCCCATCCACTTGTTCAGTCAAAGCATTATATCAACAATTCTCATTAGTTATGTCAGATTGGATGCATGTTCTGTGATAAATACGATCACTCTTAACTCCAAAGTTTCTTTCTCACTTAACATTTTTTTCATAACAGGTGCTGATATTACTAGTGTGAAGAAAGAAGACGCTGGACTAGTCCTAGCTGATGTTCTCCGTCAGATCATGCATGACCTAGATGTTGACGATGGACTGAACTCCATTGGTTTCACCTCTGAGGATATCCCAGCTTTGGTCAAAGGAACACTGCCACAGGTGAGACAGAGGGAAAAGAGGTGTCTGCCTGCTCCAAAAAAGGCATGGAGTGGGTTTCCATTATTGGTTGTATTTTGTTATTTTATCATGTCACAGGCAGTTACGTGATTTCTCTGTGACAAAAAATTGACCAAGTGCCATATTTTGTTTTCTGGAAAAGCAGTGTTTCCCTTGATTATATGTGAAAAGAAATTCTGACTCACTGCATGCATTATGTAGAGTTTGAGATAGTATGTCAGTAAATGAGGGTATGGCAGATTGGCAAAATGGACAAGGTTGGTGAGTGTGCTGTCACACCTAACACACTCACCACTGTCACACCTAACACAACTGTCACAACTAACACATTTTCACATGTTTTGCTATATTCATTGTTCTGACATTATATTTTGCCTTTTGTGCCAGCATCGTGTGACTAAACTGGCCCCAAGACCTCAGACGGAGGAGGACCTAGCTATGCTGTTTGAGAAAGCCATGAAGCTGTATTAGCTCGGAGTGTTAGAAATTAAAAATTAATTTGGAAATTTCTTGCTGACTTAAATTGCTCAGCGTGTAGGGTAAAATTACTTAAAATTATTTTAAAAATAGCTGAGGAAAATTCAGTTTTGCAAATTTAAAGTTACTTTTCTTTAATATTGAATTAAAGAATGGAACAGTGTCTGACTCAATGAGATCATTATAAGCAATACAGCAGGTGTGTTTAAGTAGACACAATATATTGTGATATATTACCTCAAGAATGCAATATTATTCTCTTGGAGATTTTATAATTAACATGAATCAATGAATTTAATGAAAAATAATTCATATATTTTTTAGAATGATTAAGCCATTGTCTAATATTTGATGGGACTCTTCCAAATCTATTTTTATGATTAAATAGAGAACATTACATGAATTAAGGTTAGCATCATCTTTTTGGGAAAAATTCAAAGCAAAACAACATTTTCGTAATATTAACAAAATTGACTTTTTTTCTGCATATCTTTTATAACTTCCAAACAAGCTATATCTGACTTAGCCATACAACTTGTGTGTGTGTATAATCAAGGTATTTTTAATATTTTTAAGCAATAAGTATTATACTAAAAGACATTTTAATGTACAGACACAACAGGTGTCTGTACATGCTGCCATCATCTGCGTCTGTCCGTCTGTCTTGCTGGAGTAGTAGCTGTCCACATTTCCCTTTACTGCAATTATTTGGAGGCAATAACTTTATCCTTGTTATATCATTCGCTAGGGCTGTGTTCAGGTTAAAAGTTATTGGTCCAGCAGGAACGCTCTATCTCAGTGGGGATTCTTGCTAAGGCGCAGCTTTATTGTCTGGCACGCCCCCTCATTATGTAAAGTACTCGGGTAAAGTTAGGAAAACTTTGTGTTCCATGACGTTGTTCAAGTTGCTTTGCTAGGGGGTGTGCCAAACAATTTAGCTGATTCCATTAACTGCGACTTAGCAAAAAACAATTCCGAGACAGATCCATCCTGCTGGACTGATCTTTTTATCTGAACACAGCCTTGAACTGTGAGACCCAGAGTTTGTATGTTGCTTTCCTATTTCATCATATTTGATGTCTAATAGAATATTCCCAGACCCTATCATACTAACTTTGGATCAAACTATCTCCAAGGGGATTCTTGCGTAATTGCAATAACTTTAGCGGCTTCGATGACTGTTATGCCTACTGAAGCTGCTAGGGGGTTATTAACTATGGTTTAGCAGTTTCAGTAGCCGTGCCAGACATCTAAGCCACTTAAGCTGATAGCAATATAGCGAGAAACCCAGTGGAGATGGACTGATTCTGTTAGATCGATCTAGAGATGGGAACCCAGTCTAAACTGATATGTTGTCTGTACATATGTCAGCATTGTCTGGCTTGCTATAGCATTATTAAGAGCTCAAGGACATCGTAATATGCATTTTATACAACGTGATTAAAGGTGCTTTGAAATGATAAATTGATAATAAATATATACTTATATCAGATTGTTGAGAAAATGCCAATGAGTGTTTAATAAAATATTTATATACGGAAATGCCTTGTTCGCAGAGATGGTTTAAGTTATCATATTTTTTGTGATAGAATCATGGAACTCCGTCAGATTGCTTGAGATACATAAAGGCCTATCATTTAGGACATGAAAAAGACACGTTTTTCCTTTACATAACGACGACTGAGCCTTCGGATTTTGAAAAAAAAAATGTTGACATGCATTTCTAGGCGTCATACCAATCCATATTCATATCCGTTCTAAGCATGGTACATTAAAATTGAAACTAAAACTTAAAATTCAGAAATATCCATTGAAGCATCTAGGCATGTCTCATAAGCCGCTTGAAATACTGTCGTCTCAGGAACCGAGGGGTTTGGTACTTTCTCGTACCTCCACCGAAGCATGGTTGAAACTTTAAAACACGTGCTGCCGCTGCCAAATCGGCATCTTTGCCGACTTTTACTATCGCTGGGAAAACCTCGGTCGCAAACAGATACTGGCGCTCCCTGTCGAATGTTTCGACGGTGATGGGCGTGTCCAGGTTGATGAATTGTCTGGAAGACGCTGTGTATTCCGGCCACTGGACGCTGACCGGGTCACCAACATTTGGGTCACTGAAACGAGACGAGTGTTTAGAAAAGTGTTAAAGAAAATTGTCAAAATTGCCATGGAGATAGCCCACTACGGATGAGACGCCATTAAAACAATATACTAGTATGATGACGCCAAAATGAAATTATCAAATCGTAATGACATTATGCGCATGGTGGGAAATTTTGACTCTAATTACGTAAAAAGATCCATATATCTATTAAAACAGATCGCGCGAATCGAATACACATTCCAAAGGATCTCCCTGCCGACAAATTGTAAAGCAATTGTCTATGCTGATTACATTTTGTATTTTGCTTGTGATATGCAATATATTAAAGAAGTTAAACATTTGTCCTTACCCGTTCTTTGCAAAGTTAGCAATATATCTCCTGACAGCCCTAGAAAGCTCCAACTCCTGCGCCGTCAAATTGTACACTCCTGGGTGTTCCTCAAACACTCCATAATAAAGAACAGCAGAATCAAAATGTTCGGCACGTACAAAGGGCACCTTCGGAAAGTAAGAAGACGGGTAGCCAAGACGAACTGAAAGCATGTATTTGTACGTCGTGGCACCTCCCGCCTCGTTCAGTCTCGCCGACTCCTCTGCCGGCATGCCGAAGAGAAGGTCCGTGGTCAGCTGTGTCGCCCGGATAAGGAGCGCTGCTGGATCCATGGGGTCTGCCATTAGACCGTACTCGTGAAGCGACGCCCTGGCCACGGCATTCGGCGCGCTTTCCGTGCTAAAGTCAAACGCTAGCGTAGAATAGGCTTGAAGCAGGGACCGTTGTGTAGCGACTGTGGGGGGATTTCCCGCAAAGGGAAGGGAGTAGATGCTTCCGTCATGGGAGGTGGAGCCCACCATGTATCGTAGCCCGGATGTCACGTTTTCTCTCAAGAGATCTCGTGGATGCTTTGGGAGGAATATCCCGTCTATGACTGGTCGCCAATTTGTCGATTCCCGAATTCCTTGTTCCGGAATATTCACCAAATCGTTCACATTCTTACCGCGAAGGCAGCGAAGCCTTGCCCTCGGATTCGCCATTCCACATCCCACTCTTTTTGCATACTCTATACTGATATTCATAGATTCTGCTAGACTCCAAGAGACCAACGATGACCCACTTGCTGATATCCCTCCCTGCACCAAACCTCGATTCAGGGGAGAAACCAACTGGAAATCCACCGACGCTCCTCCTGCCGAGCCTCCGATTAGAGTTATGCGATTGGGGTCTCCGCCAAATGCCTCAGCATTCTCCCGTACCCATTTAATAGCCCAGTGCTGGTCGTGGAGACCGTAGTTGCCTCTTGCGTCGTTCGTACCCGTGCTGAAGAAGCCCAGAAACCCCAGCCTGTAGTTGGCGTTCACGAAGATGACCCCACCCTCCAGAGAGAGAAGATCCCCGTTGTAAGCTGCGGCAGAGCCTGAGTAAAAGCCGCCGTCATGGATATTCAAGAGGATAGCGAGAGACGCATTAGTCTTCCTTAAAACGTCCACACCGCGTGGCACGTACACGTTTAAAAACAGACAATCTTCGTCCCGTGTTATGTCGGTGAGCGTGCGCCCGAGGTGGACATAGCGGGAAATTCCACCGTCAGTCTGGGGGCAGTGCGGACCGAATTGTTTGGCCTGGCGCACAGCGTCTCCCCACCCAGGGTGTCGTTCGGGATTGGCGAACCTAAGTCTTCCCACGGGTGGTTTTACGTACGGTATCCCACGAAAGCGGTCCACCATGCCTGAGACTTGAAAGATAAAAAGCAAAGCTCAGGCTTTATTGTCTGTTTGTAATGATACTTTTCGCACGTTTAATATCAGTGTGTGTGTGTGTGTGTGAGAGAGAGAGAGAGAGAGAGAGAGAGTCTGTATGCACTGTTTTTGTGTAATGTTTTCTTTTTCTACTTACATGATAAGACGCCTCTGTAGTACTGTATTGTGTGTGTTGGTTAAATAATTTTAAAATATATGTAGTAAAGACGAGTTTTATATGTAAAAATGATAAAAATAAATAACTTAACAAAATACTTTTCAAATTATTTCAAGTTTACTTATTTTAAAGATCACAAACAATTTCTTTCTGTTCTGGCCCTTGTACACGACAATGGGTAGTTCATTATAAATGCAGTCCAGCAAAAATACATATAAAAAAAATCTGTATTTACAGTTCAGCATGTACCAGTAGCACCCACGCCGTGCACCTTTTCATAATTAGTATTACTCTCCCTTGGAGCTGTTTGATGTTGCAGGGTTGAATGTGACGAGAATTAATACTGCCCTACACCCATATGTTCTGATTTAATATCAGATAGAAAAAAAGATCCGGTTTCGAAACAGACAAACATGAATATATATTCATGGAGACCTGTATCGTTTGTGTCTCCATGTAGGAGAGATTAGCCTGGCGCACAAGGTTAAGTGTTCTCCCTCTCTCTCTCTCTCACACACACACACACACATATATATAAACACGCACGCTGCCGTCAAATATATACGCAGAATTAATCTAGATCCCTATAATCTTTATGTACACTCGAGCTTCCACGCGCATACACACACACACACGCGTTTGCGCACATTCTTTTATAAATTTATAACTAAGTTAACGCCAGCACACTAACAAACACGCTCCGCACAATCTTTCCTGGTTGACCGTAAGTTCGGGCCACCATGAGTAAAAAGCGCAGTCATTTGTATTTATACTTGGAAATAAGTCATTTGGCGCTTTTGAAAGTTTAAAGTTGGGATCACTGTACTTTCATTTTTAAAACCATTCAATACAAACAGACTTCACGTTAGTTTACTTCTCATTTTGACGTTTAACGCCCTTTATTTTACTTAACAAACACGGTACTCAATTCAAGATGCCAGCTTGGTGATGACAATTATTCATGCCAAAATTTTAGCTGGACCGTAGAGAAAAACTGTCGAGAACTACCCAGATACATATATTCGAATACCTAGTGAAAATCAATCTGTGGCCCTGGTAGAGGGTACAGAGAAGGTACATATTTATGAAACCAAATTTTCATAATATTGACAAAAACGTTATAGACTTACCGGGGCCAATTTTCACATCAACTCTTTCTCCTACAATCTTTCCCAGGTTTGTTTTTACTACTGGCGTATCCAAACACAGAACGGCTTGTGTTGTCACCAACATATAGAAGCAGACGCTGAAAATAACAGGGTTGTTCCCCATCTCCGGCCTGCAGCAAGGTCCTCTGAACCGTACTGACGGGGTGCGCAGTGCAGCGACTAAATAATGCTGCAGTTTGGTCTGTCACGCACGTCAAAGCATTAATAATCGCGGCGTATTATAGAGAGAAATAAATGTCAGTCCGTTATTCAAATGAATATTTTTCACGGTACAGTGGAAAATGATTGTCTTTGCGTTACGTCACAAGCATGTGACAGTGGTGAGTAGTAGCAAGGAGTTATAACTCCTTGGTAGTAGTCACAGTTGTGACTATTAGGTGTAATTTGCAGTAGCACTTCAGTTCTAGCCCGACGGCTTAGCAGTCAGGAGACACTCAAAATTTTACTTTATAAAAATTTATATGGGTTTGTGAATTCAGAGTGAGGTCCGTCCCTCTAGACCTGAATATCATGCATCTATATTTTATAGAGCGATGATTTGCAGAAGTTAGCATCGTGGCTACAGACACAGTTTTCCATAGTGACTTTACTGTTTCGCATGCACAGTTTTATCTACGGGTTTTACTGGGCGGCATGTTATTGTTTTACGCACAATTTATTCATATTTGAGTTTGATACTTAAAGCGTATATTCAACATTTATTATCATTATTTTTTCTATAGTACAGCACAGCACAAATAAATATTACACACAATGTATTGTACTATTTGTTAATGAATTCCAATTGAAAGAAATAAAACCGACTCCCTTCTCCTATCGGCAGGGTTAGTCGGCAAATTAGTATTTGCCTTTGTTTTGTGTATGCTATATAGAATAGTAAAGACTTGTATTTCATGGAGAAAGCTGTATAAAAGAAAATATGGCTACTTCGTCACGTTAATATAATGTTACACTGAAGTCTTTTCATTCTAGCGGTCGGGTAATTGTCACTGCATGGGTAGTTTGATGGTATTTAGTGCCTATCAAATTTAAATAATTTGTTGGTGTAGAAGGTGACATCGTTTCCAGGCCCGTAGCCAGCAATTTCAAGCGGGGTGTTCTTTTTCTGAAAAAGTGGACCTTTTTCCATCAAATCCTTGTGTACCTATATCAAATGTTACCCACAGTGGACCTTTTCCAGCAAAAAGGGCGGTTCTTTCGAACCCCCCCCCCCCCCCCCCCCCCCCCCCCCCCCGGCTTAGGGGCCTGGTTTCGATCTGATGCTGGAAGACACCACCCTGAGCTTCAGAGATAACTTGACACTAACCTCTTCACAATAGCCTATCTTCATCGTGTCAAGTGTGAAGAGGTTAGTGTCAAGTTATCTCTGAAGCTCAGGGTGGAAGACACGTGTTGTTCTGCTCATTCCATTACGAATTACACGAACCGCCAGGAATTGATAAATCGCAGGGTTCTTTGTTTAATCGTGATAATTTTTCTTCAGCTTTAAACTGATTCTTATTTATTCTCAGTCTGTATCTGCAATTCTTGAGAGATCGTGACATCGGTACAAACGTTCCGAACCGGGCTTCAATTTATCACCAGTTGATGTTCATACTTCTGTTCTAGGGCCAGTACTATAGCTTCTTAATGGTGAAGATCCAATTTGGAAATGAAGCTGAAGCAGTGACAAGATTTCTACAAGAAATCTGCACAATTCCACGATTCTAAATTTTATCAACTCCTCGCGGTTCGTGGAATTCGTAGTCGGTGTGGAGTAGGGGCATTAGTGCAGTTTTTTTATGACTTGTTTAACAAGTTTTCTCAGAATCCGGTTTCAGAATCAATATGCTCTAAATATTTAAATAATTTTGGTGTTTCAGTTTCGTCATTTTCAAATTGATTTAACACCATGTGTTAAAATGACTAATTGAAATATTTCTATTGTGCATAAGTATTCTGCTCTTATTTACAATTTGCGGCTGCTGCTCTTTCTAATAAAATAGATACCTGAGCCTTCGGATTTTTTTTAGGAAAAAGTTTGAGTGAACTGAATAGCTAACAAATACTTTCATTAAAATGATAACAGCATTTATTCATGGCAATTAAAACAGTTAGATTATACAAGGCAATAAAAGACTATAAAAATGTAAAAATGTAAAACAGCAAGAAATCTTTTTTTTAAGTTACATGAAAAATATATATAAATTTGTTTAAATGCAAATTGTAAGAAAAAAGTACCCTGATATCAAAAAAAAGCTTTGTGGCACTTTGCTTACTTCAATTATTCGAAACCGTCACAAAAGAAAAAAGGCCTCCAATTACGAAATCTTTGTACCAGTTTGATTGTAGATGGAAGACTTAGATAACAATCTGCAGTACAATGATTAGGTTACAATATAAAACATGTACAAATATAAATCAAATCAAAGACAACAATAAATACGTGTAGATATCATCAACGTAAAATTCTGAAAAAAGACAAAACAGTTGGCTTGAATTCAATACGCTTCTTTCCATTGCCATCAGTAGTAATTCCTTCAATGTTTGCAGTCGTGTCGCATGCCAATAGATTGTTTATGTAGACCTTGTTCTAAGCAACCTGATTACGACTGAAAAAAAATGAATGCACGGTTCTTGTTCGTATTAACCTGTTGAACCATTGGAAATACAGGCGCAATTGTGCTGTGGATGAGATACTATCCGGACATACTTCACTTTCATTTGAAAACAAATCGTTAGCGCCAGATATTAAAACAACATTTAGATAATTAAACACTTAAATAAAACGGTGTTCACCGATAAGGGACCTTGGAGATCTTCCTTTTTTCGAGCCTTTTGTCCCGCGTTTCTTTCCTTTTAGAGCAAGTGCAAGAGCCTCGTCGACCTCTTTTCCCACTTTAACTATTGCTGGTAGCACCTCAGTGACAAACAGATACTGGCGCTCCCTATCGAATGTTTCCACGGTGGTGGGCGTGTCCAGGTTGATGAATTGTCTGGAAGACGCCGTGTATTCCGGCCACTTGACACTGACCGGGTCACCATCATTTGGGTCACTGAAAGGATAAATTATAATATCATAACATTAAGAACACGAAAAGCACTTAAGAGAGCGCAGACCTCCGCCAAGGAACCTGCAGTGATAAATTGTGGTAGTTGAGAGCACATCCATTGCAACATGTCAAGGTTATTGGCCCTATCTCGCAATGGTGGAGAATCCTGTAAAACTTCTTGGGTTCAGATTGTGAACCTGATCTTGAATCACCACCAAAATCTCCTCATTTTTATATCAGTCAATTTGTGACTTACCCTGAAAATTTCATTAAAATTCATTGAGAAGTTATTGTGTTAGGCTGGTGACGTTTTTATACAGACAAAGACACAAACGGAGATGAAAACATGACCTTGGCGGAGATAATTAACAAAATACAAACGGCGTAGTGTCCTGGAGGATACTTTAGAAGTAGAATATTTAGATTAGCTACATCTCTGAAATTTAAAGGAAAAACAACTCTTCAAATGAGATTCAAAATTTCACAGTAAATACATTATAAACAACACATAGAAAATTATATATACTAGTAGGCCTATGCCATTTCACCTCCAAAACAGCGGTTATTCCAAAACTTATGCTTTCCATCAGACCATGTGGACCTTTTAAGATGGCTTCCTTCCCTAGTAATATCTTGAGAAATTATTGAAAAAAAAAAACAAAAACAATTGGCTAAATTGGGATGTCGGAATTGATTCATAATTAGCCATTGGTAAGTATGTGGACATCATAGTTTACCCAAGGAAAATCTGTTTTATGGCAAAATGAAGAGTTGCTCTTCCTGATATGCAGACAGAATATGCCGATATGTAATGCCAATACCCTCTACCAGGGCCGCAGTTATTATTGTAAACCAAATTACTGTCTTTTTATCTAAAGACATATCTGTGAATATATGTGGAGAATCAATTTGTCGCCCTGGTAGGGGGTATAATGCCAATACGTTTTCAAGTGGACTGTTATGTTTTAACATCATTATTCTGCCTTTTAATAAACAGTTGACTTTATATTGGAAACGCATTGGCCCTTACCCATTCTTAGCAAAGTTAGCAATGTAGCGCCTGATGCTTCTACTAAGTTCCCATTCCTCGGCAGTCAAATTGTATATCTCGGGGTGTTCCTCAAAAATTCCAAAGAACGGAATAGCTGTATCAAAATGTTCAGCGCGTATAAAAGGAGCTTTTGGAAAGTAAGAGGTCGGGTAGCCCAGTCGGACAGACAATGTGTATCTGTAAGTCGTAGCGCCCCCTACATCGTTCCGCCTCGCCGACTCTTCTGCGGGCATTTCGAAGAGAAAGTCGGTGTTCTGTTGCGTCGCCTGAGTCAGAAGATCCAGTGCTTTCATTGGGTCTTGAATTCACTAAGTATCGACCTGGCAAAAGCGATTGCCGCGCTTTCCGTGGAAAAATCATATTCCTCAAAGGCAAAGTTTTTAGCTAAAAGCAGTTGCCTGGCAACTGTAGGGGGAGTCCCCGCCAAGGGTAGGGAGTAGATGCTGCCGTCATGGGAAGTGGCGCCAACCATGTATCGGAGCCCGGATGTCACATTTTCTCTCAAGAGATCCCGTGGATCTTTTGGTAGGAAGTGTCCGTCTATCATTGGTCGCCAATCTATTCCAAGTTGAGCCAAATCGTGAGCGTCCTTACTTCGGAGGCAGCGAAGTCTTTTCTTAGGCTTTGACATTCCACATCCTGCACTTTTGGCTTGTTTCAGACTGTAGTTTAAAGATCTGGCCAGAGACCAGGGCGCAAAGACTGTTCCACTAGCTGGTATTCCTCCCTGTATCAAACCTCGATTCAAGGGTGAAATCATCTGTAAATCCACCGATGCTGCTCCCGCAGAAATGCCACTTATGGTTATGCGATTGGGGTCTCCGCCAAACGCCTCAGCATTCTCCCGTACCCATTTAATAGCCCAGTGCTGGTCGTGGAGACCGTAGTTGCCTTTTGCCTCGTCAGTCCCCGTACTGAAGAAGCCCAGAAACCCCAGCCTGTAGTTAAAACTGACCACAATAACGTCACCCTCGAGTGCGAGGATATCCCCATTGTACGTGGCAGAAGATCCCGCTGAAAATCTGCCTCCGTGGATGAATATGATGATGGCGAGAGACGCATTAGTCTTCCTTAAAACGTCCACACCGCGTGGCACGTACACGTTCAAAAACAGGCAATCTTCGTCCCGTCTGATGTCGGTGATTGTCTGACCCAGATGAACGTACGGTAGAAGCCTGCTGTCGGGCTGAGGACAGTGTGGACCGAATTGTTTGGCCTCTCTCACTGTATCCCCCCAGCCGGAATGTGGCTCGGGATTGGCGAACCTAAGTCGTCCCACAGGTGGTTTCACGTATGGTATCCCACGAAAGCGGTCCACTATGCCTGAAACTGTGGTGGATAACCACTTTAGGAGCATGTAAATAAAGCATTTTATATAGGTTGCAACTACCTCAACACAACACATTCATTTAACAACAATTATAAATAAAGTTGGTTTGTTGTAGGAAACAGTCCCGCCAGTTTTAAGACGGTTCGCAGTCAATAACGTGGTGCTCGGAACAATTATGTTATGAAATCGCAGTTAAAGTCGTAAATTAAAAAATATGCAGCTCCAAGTTAAAACCAGTTATTTCGTTTATATGTCCTGAACATACATACAAGGAGGTCGTTTGTACGCAGACGCTGAAGGATGACGTTCACCTTATGAAGACCAGCTATACTTCCCCCCCCCCCAAAAAAAAAGTCCGATTAGGTGGTGAGGGTGCTCCCCTCTCCCAAACACACCCACACACCCACACACACCCATGCAGCCCACAATTCTAACGCTTAATACACCTGGGATTAATTAATACCTCGTACATTAAAACATTCCTCGTTTTTATCCGTCTCAGTAGTTCAATCCCCCCCCCCTTAATTGACATTGACAGTAGTTGACCGTGCAAATAGCATGTTATTTTTTGGGCATTAATTCTTTACCTTTTTTTCTCCACTGCTCCGCTATATAGTGTTTGAAAAGTGCATTTCGCCGTCCACTACTGAATCTGGTCACTCTAAACCGCAATTTAAACGAAGCCCATTCAACACCCTTATACCAGTACGCAGACATTCTAAAACTTACCATTACCAGTATCTGCATCAACTCTTTCTCCAACAATCTTTCCAAGAGTTGTTTCCACTGGTGGAGTATCCGTGCACGAAATTGCTTCTAACGTAAGTAATAAGTACCAACTAACGGCGAAAATTGTATCAAACCCTGTCATTTTAGGAACACACAGTCTCTCAAAGTCTACTGAAATCCGTGGGGCCAACAGTTATATAGAGGCACCGCCCGGGAAAATTAGTTCAATCAAACATCCAGTCAGATGCGGGGAATGGTGTGATGCGCTGAGTGAACTTTACTCACCTTATTCCTCGACTGTCTATGTTATGCAACCGGTATATAGCAATCACGTGACCGGTTAGCGCCCAGTTTGTCTTCCAAAGACGACGTAATTTACACAAAGATATTGACAATTGAAAAATATCATGTATGATGAATGAAAAACTATTCTTACCAGATTTATGTAATTTACCATTATTCCTATCTAGTCCACACGGTTACTTTACGTCAATGTTACTCAGAACTTTACTCACATCATTTATGTCAATGACAATATTCTCACCTGACGTCTCCACTTAAGCCTTTAGATGGGTAACTGCCTTATCATGTTCGTTGAATGAATCTACATTATCAAACCTTGCATAAAAAGTTGTTAAACTTTTCAACGCAACCATTATAATAGATCAACTTCGTCAATATAATGTATATAATGTACCAGTACATATCGTTTATGGATATCAGCTTTTCTTACATATAGAAGTCAATATGTTAAAACCGCACATGAATTGTCTCCCAATGTAACCATAAATTCTGGCATCTCCCCCCCCCCCTGAATTGTCTCCCAATGTAACCATAAATTCTGGCATCTGCCCCGGTGGTGTATTATCTGCAGTTCTCTCCATTATACAGACTTGACATTTAATATGGAATATTTCAGTTTTAAAGGTATACCTAGGTAAAAATGCGTTCTTTTTTCAAAAAATTCAGATCTCATATAAGACATCTGACTGGAGAAGTGTG